TAATTAATTAATTAATTAACTCCAAGTCAACTATTTTTTTTAAAAGAGAGAGAGAGAGAGAACTTTTTAATATATATTTTTTAAATTTTCTGCGGACACAACATCTTTATTTGTACGTGGTGCTGAGGATCGAACCCAGGGCCGCACACATGCCAAGCGAGCGCGCTACTGCTTGAGCCATATCCCCAGCCCCTCCTTTCCACCATCTTTACCTGTAGACCTTCTTCCTCACACTGGAAGCTTCAGAGTCACAAGATAGCTTTTGCGCTTCCAGAGAGATGAAAGGGAAGGGACAAAAGGTCTTGGGATGGATCGAATTGTGTCTCCCCCACCCAAAATATGTCAAGGTACTAACTCTGGGTATCTGCAAATGTGGCCTTATCTGGAAACAGGGTCTATGCAGATGTCATTAGTGAAGATGAGGGTGTAGTTCATTAGGGTAAGCCCCAATCCAATAACTAACGTTCTTCTGAGTAGACAAGAGACAGGCACAGAGAGGAGAATGCTGTGTGAAGGCACAGACACAGCAGAGGGAGGACAGCCACGTGAAGACAGAGGCTGGAGTGATGAAGCTTCAGGCCAAGGAATGCCAGGGACTCCTGGTTTGGAGAAGGGAAGAAGTCTTTTTTTCCCTCCCATGTTTGGTTCTGCAGTGGAGCCCTGCAGGTGAGACAGCTTACGTGAGGAAAAGGAAAACTTACACGCAAGAGTGCTTGGTGATAAGTAACTCATAGAGGTCATTAGAACTTGAACTTACTTAGCAAAGAATAATTTTGTCGAGAAGTGAAAAGACAAAGGAAAATGACTTACTAAATTATCTTGAGTACTAGGGTCAGCAAATTGTGGGACAGTAAATGTATGGGGAAAACTAATTAATAGGATTTGTTGGAAGAGGTCCTGCTAGATGCCATCTTGTGTCCAGTGATAAGGTTACTTACCTTATCACTGTTCCTGGTACCGAAGCAAAGGTGAAACCTTAGCAAGGGGGTTCATGTTCTGTTTTCAGGTAGGTAGTGGGACTAAGAACTCATCCTGCATCTGATTTTTCTCATTTGCCTTAAGCTCAGAATAATTTATATGCGAGAGTGGCATATTTTGGAGTGGTCTACTCCAAATCCCTTCATTGGCAGCCATAGGAAGTAGGAAGAGGTGAAGAAGGATGATCTCTCTACAAATTTCAGAGGGAGCACAACCCTAAAAACACATTAATTTAGAATTCAGACTTTCAGACCTGTGGTACAATAAATTTCTCTTGTTGAAAGCCACCCAGTTTGTGGAACAATTGAGCGTCTCTAATCTGAAAACCCAAAATCCAAAATGCTCCAAATTCTGAAACTTTTTGACCGCTATGGGCATGATGTCACTAGTGGAAAATTCCACATCTGACTTCACTTGATGGGTGGCCGTCAGAATGCAGGCACATTGGGGCTGAGGTTGTGGCTCAGTGGTAGAGTGATAGCATGTGTGAGGCACTGGGTTCAATTCTCAGCACTGCATATAAATAAAATAAATTAAGGTCCATTGACAACTAAAAAAATATTTTTAAAAATGCAGGCACATTAAAATATTGCATAAAGTTATCTTCATGTTATTGTGTATAAGGAGTACATAAAACAGAAATGAACTGGACACAGTGGTACATGCCTATAATTCCAGCTACTCAGAGAATTTCAAGTTCAAGGTCAGCCTGGACAATTTAGTAAGACCCTGTTTCAAAATTTAAAAATGGGGGGCTGGGGATGTGGCTCAAGCAGTAGCGTGCTCGCCTGGCATGCGTGTGGCCCGGGTTTGATCCTCAGCACCACATACAAACAAAGATGTCGTATCCGCCGAAAACTAAATAAATAAATAAATGAAAACATTAAGAAAAAAAAAGCCGTCCTCTTAAAAAAAAAAATTTTTTTTTAAATGGCTGAGGATACAGCTCAGTGGTAGAATGCTTGCCTAGCATATATGAGGCCCTGGGTTCAACACCATGTACTACCAAAAAAAAAAAAAAAGCGTATTTCTCAAAATAAAATGAACAGGGCTGGAGGGGTACGCAAGCTCACTACTATTGAGTTACAAGGCCTTTGGTTCAATTCCCAGTACTACAAAATCGTCATCATTGTCATGGTTGTCGTCATCATCATCATCATCATCTTGTCTTCACTTAGAACATCTCCAACTGACTTTTTGTTTTTTTAAAATATTCCATTGGTAAGAACTGGGCAGACCCCCAAACAGAATATCAATGGCAAAAGAGAAGAAGATTCCCATGAGTTATTAGAACTGTCCCCTAGGCCTGGGGTAGGGTACTCTCCTTGCCATCAAGAATCTGTCCCACCACCTGAGCCTCTAGGGAGGCAGCTGGAAGTGACAGTCACATTGGAAGCTGGACTTCTGTGCTGCTGTGTGGGCCACATTTAGAAATGCTGTCTAACAGTGTTTGAGATTCATCTCAGAAGAGATCCTTACATTCTCCAGAAGCACTCAGGAGTTTAGGTAAAGGATCCAAGTAGAGGGATCCCAGCTAAGAAGTTAGACGTGCTGAGGGAATCTGAGGTAGCACTCATGGGGAGACACCACGGACTCACCTAAAACCAAGAGACAGATATTAATTTGAGTGAAAATGAACTGAAGTCAGGAGTTGGAAATTTCAGAAAGGAGAAAAGGCAGGAGAAGTAACCTGGTGCTGATGAATCCCCCCATTCCAGGGGAAAAGTGCTGGGGGGCGATATTGGCCAAGTGTATTGTTACAGTGCAAGTATGCACAACTATAATGCGACAACTAAAAACTGTGGGGAAAAAGAAAGAAAATCCCCCATTTCTGCTCCAAGGGAGTTATCCACCCAGTTTTTTAAAAAAAAACAGAATGTGTGAGAGAAGAGGGCAAACAGGGATGCTGTTTTAATGGTAAGCAGCAATGGATGTAGTAAGACATGTTTTTAATCTTCAATCTTCAACTATTTAATTTAAATAGTTAAACCCAACATCACTGCTAAGATGAGGGATAAGCATCCTAACAAATCCAGCTCTCAGGAGCACAGGAAGTGGGAAGAACATTCCCTATCCAATTCTGGAATCCATCAATCTCTCTTCCATCCCTCCCTCCCTCCCTCCCTCCCTCTTTCCTCCCTTCCCCCTTCCTCCTTTCCTCCTTTCCCTCCTTCCTTCCTTCCCAGTGCTGGGAATTGAATCAGCACTTCATGTACTGTGCACAATAGGCAAGGACTGTACCATGGATAAACCCCCATCCCTAGTTCTAGAATTTTTAAATGTTAAATTGTCTTCATTAAAGGAATATCTAAGAACTACAGCCTTGTCATATGGAGGCCAAGTCTTATGCTGTGCCCAATAGCACTGTGACTTTATGGGTTACCGGATTGTCATGTTCCCACTGGAATCTTCCTCCTGTATGCCAGCCAAACTCGGCTGTTACACCTGAGCCTGTTTTTTCCCCACCTGCTCTAACAGAATTTAAATCGGCCAACTGGTCTACCTGAATCTTTTGACTGCCTCAAGGCTGGTTTATTTCCAGTTTGTTCTGCCAGGAAGCACCCCTTCTTTCTTGGTGTCCTCTCTATTCCCCAAATATATATATATATATATATATATATATGATACCATAACATTTTATGTCATTTATTAAATTTTGTATTATTAGCTTTTCATTGCTATGACAAAATACCTGAGATAATCAATTTATGAAAATGAAAAGTCTATTTTGGCTCACTGTTTTAGAGATTTCAGTCCATGGTCACTTGGTTCTGTGGCAGCACAGTATATCATAGTGGGAGCACATTATAGAGGAAGTCTATCCACCTCATGGTTTTCTGTAAGCAAAGAGAGAAAGGGACCAAATGTCCCAATATCCCCTTCAAGTGCATGCCCTTGATGACCTAATTTTTATTAGGTCTTTCCTCTTAAAGATTCTACAACCTCCCAATCAGGCTAACAGGTTGGCAACCAACTCTAACACATGGGCCTTTGAAGGACACTTATCTAAACCATAGCACAGGCCTATCTCCTCTTGGTAAGGACTCTAGGGACAGTTACCATGCCCTAGGTATTTTTGTGTGACTAGCATCTAACACAATCAGGGTCTATTAAACATTGAGACAGTAAAGAAATTATTAAAGGCTAATCTGAATGGGAAAACAACGTGTCATAAATTTCCTAGCTATAATTCATAGGAATCCATAATGTCCCACCCAAATGCTCTGTAGGGATAAGAATTCAGGAAGGGTGTTGGCCATAGGCCTTCCTGGTCTGTGGAGAAACAGGGGGTACACTGGGAGCCATAAAACAAATATCCCTGGAGCTAATCTGTTATATCTCTGTAAAATTTTATGCCTGGGTATTGTTATTCCTCCCTATATTGTGCTAATGTTGCTATCCTAGGAAACTGAAAAGAATTTGAGCCATTTCCTATGTTGTTTTAGGACCAAATTGCTCCTCAGAGTTAAGGGCTTCTTTCTCTGGATGTGTTCCTGAACCTTCAGAGTTAGGAACAGCAGATGCAAACACTAAAGCAGCTCTCGTCCTCCAAAGGGAAATGTGAAAGGTAAGCTGTAGCCGCCCAGCCTCACTGTGGTGCTGGAGGGGGCCCAGGAGGAAGGGAGCCTAGATGGAAGTAAAGAGGAGGGTTGAAGCACACTCCTCTGACTCTTCTCCCTAAAAGCAAACCTGTTACTGGAAACGTGGACTCTTTCCAGCCTTGGTTATCCAATTGTCCGACTCAGGTGCCAGACTCACTTCTTATTGCAATATGCCTATGTATTGTGTTTTGCCCTCATTTTATTTTGGCTGCAGATTAGGTCACTGTGAACTTTCCCTCAAGTTTACTCATAATACCAGAAATATGTGGGGGCCACCTCCTCTTATTTCGAGACCTACCATTCCTCGTGATTTGTCTCACTTTGTTGTTATTTTCCAGTTCTTCCACCTGATATTTTTATGAGTTTTATTCTCTAACCCCCCACACATCCTCCCTCTCTCTCCCTCTCTGGCTCTTGCTCTTGCTCTCTCCCTCTCTCCTTGTCCCACTTCTTTGCTCTTCTTATTGGTTTCCTACCCAGGGTCTAGAAGTCACCCTGATAAGTGATCTAAGTAGAAGAGAAGCATTGGGTTTTCAGACCTTCAGAGACTGGGCTGCCACTACCCCATGGGGTGCCTTTGTGTGACCTGGAAAAAGACATCCCTTCCTCTGGGCAGGTGCATCCCCACACCAGTGTGCACAGCTCAGGGAGCAGAGGGCAGACTGAGCAGCACTATTCTGATGTGCCATGAACGTGTCCCTACCAGAAGGGACAGCCCTTTTTAGAGAAAAAACATATAATCTTGCTTAAATAAATCATTACAGCAACCATGGTCCTCATGATGAAAGTATTCTTTAAAGTTCATTTTATAAACGAGTGGCCTTGGACACTTTGTATAATAGCTTTCTGCAGCCAGAAACATCGAGTCCAATATGCCATGGCCTTATTTGCAAAGCCATTTCCCTTTGTGGTGCTATATTTACCTTTGTCTCCATTTCAGCAAACAATTAATGAATGTGGACTGGGAGCCAAATGCTTGAATCCCATGTTCGTTTCTCTCCAGCTGAGCATTTTCACTTCATCTAACCCTATTACAAAAGGTGCATCCTTGAAACTTCCAGGCACAAGCCCTCATGGATGTGCGGATGTGAAGGCAAGCCCTTGGCATAACTTTCTACGATCCCAGGTCTGAGATCTGCAAGAGCTGCCTCCAGCCCTGGCCAGCATTGCCCTTGCCTTTTGTTGCCCTCCTCCTCCTCGGGAACCCACACATCATGATGCACTGTGCTCAGAAGCCTACTCAGAGTGCACAAATTAGCTCAATATCATTTGAGGAAATCTCTAGATATAAGCTCAATAGAAGAAAAACAATGCTAAACTTTATTCACATGGTATTTTGCAATTTAGAAAACATTTTCACATGCATCAGCTCGTGTAATTCTTAGTTGGAATTAGCAACCAAGAAGAAAAAAAAAAAAAAGATGAATGTAAGAAAAAAAAATGACTAGTAAAATTCAGTTATCTTTCAGGTTGTCTATTCTACCATCCTTTTCCATGATGCTGATTGATTCATAAAAGGGAACGAGTGGAAGCCCATGTCAGTGTGACTCCAGTTTCTGGGCCTCAGCCTCCAAAATGGGTACAGACCTCACCCCAGTTTCATCTCTTCTACCTACTTCCTCCCTGCTCTAGAGTCTTCCTTTGGCCTCCAGACCTTTTCTCTGGCCCCCTCCGGGAGGCCTTCCTTCCAGTTCCCCACAGACTATGTGATTTCCTGTGGACTGGAGATCCAAGGCTCTCCAGGCCTGTACCAGTTTTCTAGAGAAACCCTCTTAGGATGCAGCCACCCAAATCCCAAGTCTGGGATACTATAATTCATTCATAGGGAAGGTTCATCCTTCTCAAATAACAAGAGTACCGTCAACTGTGGCTGCCTGCAGACAGTCCCATTTCATCTTCACAACAAACAGACGGCTAGCGTGACCATACCATGTGCAGCTGTTGCTGAAGTTAAACAAGGTCCACCAAGCCTGCCCTCACTAGCCCCAAAGCTCTGAGCAGGTTTTAAACTTCTTTTGCTCTTTGGTTTTCTGCCAGCTACACAACTCCATAATTTAATTAAGTTCCTCAGAGACGCCCTATTTTTACTTAAAAGTTCTTGGTTTCTTCTTGGTGCTGTATTACCCTGCATTAGCATTCTGCAGTCCTTCTACTGGATCTCAGATGATCTCTCCCAAATCCTTACCTTGACCTTCCCCAGGCAAACACAATATTCACAATCCAGTGTATTCTCTTTGCTCTTATCCTAGTCGAACTCAAGAAAGCCATGTTTTCATTATAGTCAGGAAGAAGAAACACTCACCACAGGCCTGCTTCTTTCTATACAGGACTTATAAAGATTTTCTATCTGGTCAAGAACTGAGGTTTGCTTCCTGGGTTGCACATTAGAATGGGGGGGGGAGCATCCATAAAGCTGGAAACCTGGGCTTCCCACCCCCAAGGGTAGCAGAATCTCTGGGGAGATGGAACCTAAGCACAGGCGTTTGAATTTTTAAGATCTAGTGATGCTAAGCCACTGCCTGCCTCTCTCTTTGCCAGTCCACCTCCATTACCATTTTCTAGAGCAGTCTCAGGAATCGCTTTCTCCAGAGTCTATACGGATCTCCTAGTGCAGTCTTTACAAAAAAAAAAAAAAATTGCTTTCTCTTCTTTTATTCTCATTTTCTCCTGTCCAAGAGAACACCAATTTAACTCATCACTTTGTGTGAATATATCCAGCCACCCATGTCGCTGTGGAATATCTCTGCATTGTTCTGAAATTATTGTTTTCTCATTCCATACAGATCTGTTTAACTATGTCACAAATGGTGGCTATGTGGTGTAATCATTTTCATCACTTTCCAAACTGCCAGCAAACAGCTTCTAAACCAGAAGACAATAATTGAATGTTGATTATAAGTAAAACTTGTTGGCACAACTACAGCCATCTTCCTTTCCCCCACCCCCATTTTATAACTACTGTTCTTCTTATTAAGAAATAATTGCCAGGGGCTGGGGATGTGGCTCAAGCAGTGGCGCGCTCGCCTGGCATGCGTGCGGCCCGGGTTCGATCCTCAGCACCACATACAAAGA